GAGAGAAGGTAAAAGTTAGGCACTTTTCACTGAATATATTTCTAGATCGCTCAATTTTTTTCTTTTTTTTTTTTTTAATTTATCTTTATTGTTGAAAGTATTGCAGGTGTCCCATTTTTCCCCGCCAAATGACCCCCTCCACCTCGCTCCCACCCCATCCCCAGGCCTTCACCCAGTCATTGTCTGTGTCCATGGATTATGCATATATACATATAACTTCTTTGGTTAATCTCTTCCCACCCTCCACCCCCTTCCCTCTTCCCTCTGAAATATGATCGGCTGTTACATGCTTCAATGTCTCTGGATCTATTTAGTTCATCAGATTCTTTTGTTCAGTAGGTTCTTGTTAAAGAAGACCCTTCAACATTTCCTATAGTGCTGGTTTGGTGGTGATGAACTCCTTTAGCTTTTCCTTATCTGAGAAGTTCTTTTAGATAGCTCAATTTTTGAACAGTATTAATGCATTACCTACTCAAAAGATGTTTTAAAAACTTTTTTTGGGGGGGGGTGCAGCCTCCGTCGGAAATGGTATGCAGATTATTTAAAAAATTAAACACAAATAAAATGATCAGCAATTCCACTTCTAGTATATACCCAAAATAAGAGAAAGTAGAAACTTGAATGGATATTTGTACACCCAAGTTTATAGCATTAATCACAATAGCCAAAAGGTAGAAGGAACCCAAGTGTTTATTGATAGATGAGTGGATAAACAAAATGTATTATATAGGTACGATGGCTTATTATTCAGCCTTAAAAGAAATGAAATTTTGACATATGATACAACTTGAATAAACCTTGAAGACATTATGCTAAGTGCAATAAGTCAGTCACAAATGGACAAATATTGTATAATTTGTCTTATATGAGATACCCAGAGTAGTCAAATTCATAGAAACAAAAGATAGAATACCAGGGCCTGGGGGGAAGAAGACGGGGAAGTAATTGTTTACTGGGTCCAGAGTTTCAGTTGGGAAAGATTGAAGAGTTCTGGGCATGGATTGTGGTGATGGTTACACAACAATGTGAATTTTGTTTGAAGCTTCGGAACTGTACACTTAAAAATGGTTAAAATGGTAAATTTTGTCATGCATATTTTACTCCATTTTTTAAAACTGAGTCTGTTTACGTACACAGGCTCGATTAAAAAATGAACAAGAGTATAGCCACAAAAAGCCCCACCAAACATTGCACACAGTAAATTTTCACTGCAGAATTTCTTTGCTTTTCAGAGATGTCAGGCAATTCAGTGACTTGAAGCTTTAAAACCAAAAGTTGCCACTCCGCCCAACGTGGGGCTCGAACCCACGACCCTGAGATTAAGAGTCTCATGCTCTACCGACTGAGCTAGCCGGGCGCGGCTGTGGCTGGGCCCCACATATTCTACCAACAATGATTACTTCACTGCGGGATCGGGCCCGTCGCTGGAGGTGTGCGGCTGGGCTCAGTCGGAGTCTGATCCGGCCGTTAGAAGGCTCAGTGCAGCTCGGAAGCTCAAACTCCGAGGGTCGTGCCTGACCGTCCCTCCTCTTTCCGCCCCTTTTCTGCTTGCAGTTCTTTGCCAGCGACCTAGCCCTTTCCATCCCCGAAAGCTCCCGGCGCGAAGGGAAGACGTGCGCACCCCGATGCCACTGGCGCGATCGCCTGGGGTTTTCTAACCTGGAGTTAAAAGGCAGAGTCACGGGGTGGGAGCGGGTGAGGGCCGCAGCAGACTCCTCCAGCGCGGGCAACAGGCCACGCTCCGGGGCTGGCGCACCCACCATAGACTAGACAGGTGTGTATTACAGAATTGTACACCCGAAACCTATATAATTTTATTAACCAGTGTCACCTCAATAAATAAATTTAAAAAACAAAACAAAAAACGGCTATGGAAATATGGTGCGTGTCAGAACTTGGGAGACCAGGAAAAAGGAGCGCAAACCCGCGCTGGAGATGCCGGGGATCGAACCCGGGGCCTCATACATGCAAAGCATGCGCTCTACCGCTGAGCTACATCCCCCACTCGACAGAGCGGTTCTCTATGCTTCCTTAAGCAGTGTCTTCGGCGGGGGTACGTGTGGCTTGACAGCCTCTCCCGAGCGCGACAACCCAGAAGCCGCAGAACAAGAGCGGGCAGCGTCCCGAGGGTCTCCAGGGTTCTCTACTAAGACCACAGGGGCGCACGCCTCGGTCGAAGGGCGCCCCGGGGAGGGCAGGGCCGGGATAAACACCTGGAGGCAGCGGTGTAAAAAGAAGGGGGGATCATCTGACGCGATGTCCCAAATGGACCGTGAGCTGAAAAAGAAAAGAAGACTGTGTGCAGGATGCTGCGTTTATAAAACAAAAAGAGGGAGGAGTGTAGTAAATATAACATTTGTATAAAATAATTCAGAATTGCTTGGGATGCGGAAGGGACTGGGGTTTAGGCGATAGGCAGACTTTTCACTATAAACCGCTCTGTGCATCTGAACTTTGAACCGCGTCCAAATTAATTCAACCCAAGAAAAGTTTACAGAGCGCCTCCTAGGCACCAAGAACTGCTCTAGAAAACGGGTGAACAGAACTCACGTAGTCCATGCCCTCCAACAGCTCGCATTCCCGGGGAAGTAAAGCGCTAGATGGGAAATCGAGCCAGCGTTGCGCGGGAGAAAGTGCTACCGTGTGACTGTAGACAGGCTTCCCAGAGAAAGGTCACATTGGAAACAAGACTTGAAGGAGGTGGGAAGCGAGCCAAGCGCGCATCTGGGAGAAGAGAGGCCCGAGGAAGGGGAACAGCCCGTTCAAAGGCCCTGAGGTAGGGTCCTCCTGACAGGTTGCAGGGACAGAAAGAAGGTGCGTGTGGCAGGAGGGGAGTCGATAGGAGAGAGCACTGAGATGAGAGTAGAGGGGAGGCCCGGGGCCAGGGGTGGGGGAAGAATGGGGTAGGGCTCTTAGACAATGGTAAAGACTGTGGCTTTCACTCCGAAAGGTGGGAGCCACTGGAGGGTTCGGAAGAGGAGGGCCATGATTTGGCTTAAACATGACATTCTAACAGGATTGTTCCCACGGGTGAGGAAAGGCCAGCGGAGTGGGACGGAGGGTGAGAGGCTGTTGCTCGTTGGAGACTATGCAGCGGAGGGAGTGAGAGACTGCGGACTGCAGAGGACTGGGTTGAGGTGTGCGCAGTTTTTTCCTCTTGGGGTCACAGAGGACACCCTGGTTTTGTCCTGAGCACCTGGAGGGATGGAGTTAGATGGGGTGGGGTGGGGAACGCTGTGTGAGAAGCACGTGGTGGGGCGGATCAGAAGTACAGTTGCGGACGCGGTGAGTGTGGGACGCCCTGAGAACACGCAGGTGGAGATGCTACGCTGGAGCTGGACGGGGAAGCTGGGCATCCTCGGGGCCCTGGGCTGGGTTTGTGCACTGTGGTGTCACCAGGGAGAGGGTCACCCAGGCCCATAAAGTGTAAGAGGTCACAAGGGATTCAGTACAGAGGGCCAAGGACAGCCGGGACAGGGAAAAGGGCTGAAGGGAACAGGCCCTGGAGCTGGGGGGAATGCCTGGAAGGCGCTGAGAAAGGGTGTCGGGAAGGAGGGAGCACCAGATGCGAGGGCAGGTGAGGGGAGGCCTAAGGAGGGGTCTTCGCCTTTGGGTTAGGATCTCCAAGGCCACTGGTGATTTTAAGAGGGACTTCTGAGGAGGGTGAGGGCGAAAGCTTGACCCCAGTGGTCTCCGGAGGGCATGAGAGGGGATGGAAGCAAAGAATACTAGCAGCTCTGGAGGGGGGCTGTGGAGATAAGGGCGGGAGGGGGGAGATAACACCGAGTAACTTGGGAAAAATTACTGTAAATGTGTTTTTTTGTTTAAAAACAATTAAATAAAGAATAAACAAGGGGGAGGGGACAATCGCAGGAAAGGCAGTTACAGAGGTGGAT